ACCCTATTATTATTATTATTATTATTATTATTATTATTATTATTATTTTCCAATAAATGATCAAATACATTCATAAAAAAAAACCTAAGAAGTCATTATTCATTGAGCTCCTGCACTATATAAATAATTCCTAAAATTATTGGCCACAATTAAAAACTAATTGTTTTTTTAATTTTCACAGTGATGTACAATTTCTATCTGGGATATTTATTATTATTAGTATCGCTTAAACAAAATTGAATAACATTTTCATAAAGAACTCGTACATAATATTTATACGCAGCCTTTAAAAATCTATTTCCGTATACTAATCTTCAATTAAAACGTGGTTTTTTCAAAGTACGCGAATATAAATTTATGTTCATATGCAAACACCCATCGATCTTACTTTTAATATAAAAGGTACCTTACGTTCTTAAAGCTCTAAAAAAATTTATTTTTCTTAACATACGGTGTATTTTCTTTTTTCTCAGCTTTTACGGCATAGTAGACATTTGAAATTCAGAAGAGAGTTATACCCAAAAGTAATTATATATACCGATCTCTTGACCATGAAACGATTTATCCTTTTCCATGGTGTACACACAGATACAAGTATATTTAATACGTGTGTCAGTATTATATATACGCGATGAGAGTTTCTTGGCTTGCGACAGAATGTTATTTTCTGCCACGCACTTAAAGGTCGGAGTTGAGGTCGGCCGTGTAATGTCATTCCCATGTACGGAGACTCGCTCGCTGATACAGTCCGAATATTCGAGACAAACATTTTTATGTGAGAATCCCGAGAGATAAGCCGACGCTGTCGCGATGCCGCAGATTTACCATTTGTGATGAATCCGTCCACTTCACGACATACAGTAATACTTCTTGCAAAGGCTTAATCTTGATGTTTTTCGATTTTCAATCAAACTATAATTACGAAAATAAATTTTTAAATTAAAATACGAAATATCAAAGAATTTTGTTAATATTATCGACTGGTATTTTTAATCGTCCGAGGATGTTTAGTGCGATATGGGTATTTGCATGACAATTCCAGTAGGTATTGAATTTAAGCGACCACGCAAATCCTTGATCGCTAAAAGTACTTTACGATACCGGACAGCCTTATTCGCGTTTGTCCCTGGGGAATATGACGTAATGCGATGCGATTTTTCGTAGTTCAAGTGTTAGTGTGCATTGGAAGGAAAAAAAAATTCAACGCATTTTTTTTCGTCTTTAGTACTATCATATGTGTACGTATATATATAAAAAAGCATCTATGTTTTTTTCTTTCTTTTTTTTTTTATAAAATCATAACTTTTACAAAATTAAGATTAAACTAATGTTGTGTTTGAGTGATGTACATACGAGAAGATCCTTTTTTTTTTCATTTTCGAAAATATACATAAGTGATGATTATTAATGGGTATACAAATACACGGAGAAATAAGTTTTTAAGTAAAAATGCATTTAATACAGCAAAAGCAAATCAAATAAAAAAAAAAAAAAAAAA